TTTTTTTTTTTGGTACCAGGGATCGAACTTGGGTCCTTGCTCTTGTGCAGCAGGCAGTGAAACCACTGAGCTAAATCCCCAGCCCTTATTTTTCTCTCAAGTCATTATATTAATGTATTTTCAGAGGATGTTTTAAAGACGCTTGTTACTTTTGGCTGCTCAATTACTTATAACTTATTTAAAAACCTTATTTCTAATAGCTCTGGATTAATCAATATATTAATAGAATGCTTTTCAAGTAAAACTTTTTGTTTAAAAATACATTTTAATTTCCACGCTGTGTGTGTGTGTGTGTGTGTGTGTGTATGTATGTGTTACTGGAATTGAACCTAGGACCTTTGCACTGAAGTATATCCCCAACTGCCCCCTTCTTTGTTTTGAAACTGGCTCTGACTAAGTCATTAAGTTGCCCAGAATGGGCTCTAACTTGCAATTTTCTTACCTTAGCCTACCTGACTGCTGCAATTGTAGGCAGGTGCTACCATGCCCGTCTCCATTACTTTTATAATGTCAAATGAGGTTATTCTTTATCAAATACAGTATAACTCCTTTCTTAAAAGTAGCTTGAAAAATTACCACTAAATTACTTTTGTTCTATTTATTCAAAATTATAGAAATTTTAAAATAAAAGTAGTGAAGTTTTCTATGCTCACCCTGATCTGTCATTATCAAATTTTAAAAGATTAGACTGATAGAAATTGACAATTAGTATCTTAAGAAAAATGTGTAGATCCATGAACTGTTTGGTTTCTATCAATCTTAGAACACTGCTGAAGAGTGAGGCTCATTGCCGACTTAGACCATCATGCAGCCTCTCTAAGGACTTCTGATTATCATGCTGTGAAAGAAAGCAGTAGAATCACTGCTTTTATTGATTTTTTTTGTACTTGGCTATGAAATAGTTGTTATTTTCTGTTTAGGGTTTTAAATAGAGTCATAGAAGATAAAAACTCAAAAAGACCACAAATATCCCCTCGTTCAGCTCCTCTTACGTTCTCTCTCTATGGTTGTGTGGATAAGAACATGGGGGCCCCTCCTAGATTAAATAAAGTTTCCTTATTTTTAAAGTTGATTTGAAATATTAGAAAAGGAGATGATGAAGCATGGATTCTTTCTGTTTATTTACTTGTATTAAATTTTTTAATTTGTATTAGTACATGTTTGCAGTACATGCAATTTACAGTCATCTTGGTGAGTGGGTGCACGTAACATAATACATCTTGTTTCTTTTTTAAAAATCAGTTTCCCTTCTCTCCTCCTCCCTCCTTCCTCCCCTAATTCCCCTTTCCCTATTTTCATTCCTGTTCATAGTATTAGTCTTAGCTCATGTGTATGCCATGTAATGTTTACATTCATTGATGTTAGGTTCCTATACATGGCGTATCCTCATTCTTATTTCTCCTCATTCCCTTTCTCCCCTCCCCCTTGGACTCTTGGACCCTTTCCAAGTTGGAAAAGATCCATGCCCTTGTCTCTTTCCATCCATCCTTTATTATTCTCTTTGTTTGTACTCTGCCTTGCTGAAATGAGAGATATCATACACCATTTAAGCTTGTGTGTCTGGTTTATTTCACTCAACATTATATTTTCCAGGTGTATCCATTTTCTTACAAATGTCTCAAATTTGTCCTCTTCTTTAAATTATATGATTCAATCTGAATTTTATGTTTCTTTGCTTTCATTTCAGTTAATTTAACATGAAAACTGAAATTATGTATGACAAAATATCAATAATAAAAACATTATAATTTTGAAAGATACTTTCTCTTGTTTCTCGCCTTTATCCTGATAATCAAGGATTAATGTTATGGGCTTATAGCGCTTGGTTTGGGCATTGCTGTGTTCTTTGTGTACTGTGTTTCTTGATAATCTTTGTACTCATTCTAACATTTGACTGATGAAGAAACTCTTAGTATGGCTCTGATGGTGCGTTGGTTCACACAGGAACCTTCACTTTCTTTTTTCTATTACCTCTTCTTTCCATTGTCCTTTTCTTCCATCTTTATCTGCATCTCTCCCTATCATAGACATCTGTAGATATTGCTTAGTCCTCCTGAGTATCAAGTCCTCAAGATGATTTAGGACTTCATATCAAATAAATATTGGCCAGCTCAACACTATAACATTGTAATTTTTCCAAAAACTCTTGTCTTCAGTATTAATAAGTAACATTTACATAGTTCCTATGCCAGGTACTCTTCAAAATACTTAATTTCCATAAATCAATTCATTTAATTTTCAAATAATCTTTGAAGTAAAATTACTTTCTGTCTTATTTTCTCTGTCATTTTCAACACCTGAATTTTATTTTAAAGACAGTAAACATATCTTTTAACAAAAGGAAATAAAGGTATATCTGGCTTCTAAGAATTTTCAGGTAACTAAGATGTTTTTAGTCCACAGCATCAAAGAGTTCAGTCCAAATGAATAATAATTACTGATATAGGAAGTAGGGTATCTACTAGTGCCCTTTGAAGAATTCAAGTTTTCAAATATCATCAAAAAGATTCACAGCTCTATCCTCCATTATTTCTATAAAGAGCAAGATGTTGCCTAACTCATGGTGATGCTATGCTAAAAAAATTAAACTTTCAACATTTGATATTACCAAAAGCATCCTTCTCCTTGATAGTTTCAACAATGGACCATTGTTAAATGAATGAGTCATTTGAGAAATATTACTTGGGAACGTGAGGTGGAGAAAAGCACAAATTTATTTTCTGTACTGATTCAAGTGATGGTTTCAGGACTTTCTAGTCATATTAAATGTCAAACAAGGAACCAAATTTTTTAATTGCACATATCATGCAAGTTACATGTATTCTTTGTGGATAATACACAGAAAAGCAGCAGGAAGGCAGGATAAATGGGAAAGAAGGAAGAAAGAAGAAAAGGAAGAAGGGAGAAAAAGCAAAAGAGCAAGGAAAGAAAGCAAAACATTGCCTGGAATCCCATCATTAATAATGACCATTGGCATTAGAGAATACATCTTTTGTATTGTAGATATATAATATTTTAAAACAAAAATGGCATGTCATACTCTTTTCTAACCTGATTTTATTTTTGAACTACACAATATTTGACTTTGTTTTACAGTTAATATCCCAAAGCTAATTAAACAAATTACTTGTTGGATATTTAGATAGTGCTAATCTTTTAGTTATAATCCTTTATATATCATTTGCATATTCTTACTTAATTTCTTACTATTAGGTTCTACAAAAAGGATTGAGTCAACAGGTAAGTAAAGTGTTAAAGCTTTTGATATTATTGCCAAGTTGCCATCTAAGAAGGTCATGCAATTTATATTCCATCAGCAGGATCCAAAACTATCAGCAAATGTTGCTATTTACCATTATATTAATAGTCATTTATTAGTTGCTAGGAAGAAGGAATTTATTTAAATGCTTTAGGAGCTGATTATCAACGATATGAATTTTTGGTTAAGATAAGCTCTCATTTTATCAACTATATGAATTCTTGGTTAAACTAAGCTCTCCTTAACTATAACTTTAAGCTGTATTCTTGTGAAACAGTATTCCCAGTTAAACGAGGCACGCCTGATTGCCAGATTCTGCTAACCGTGTTATGCCCCCTGATTTTACATTCACAGTGTGCATGGAGTCTGAGCCAGAGGTCATCCGATGCTTGCGATTGGCATTGACTGATGGTATCAGAGACATCATACAGCAGGTAATATCTTTGATGAACTGTGGAAGAACTTGTGAGACAAACACAAGCAACCACAGGGTTCCCAATCATTTGCTCCAGAGCATTCCAAAAGAATGGAATTACATTCCAAAAGAATGGAAAAGGAAAGAATCAAGCAAAGGTAAGTATGTTTGTTTTTCTTGAAGAAAACTTATCTTGAAGAAGCAATCTTCTAGTATATTCAATTAAGTAATTTTCTAAAAATTATATGATTGATAAACAATACTATCCTTCCTTCCACCAAACATATTTCAAACCCTTAATTTTTTTTATATGAGCCACATGAACAAGAAAACTACAAATGAAATTGGCTTTAATGGTCATGTTATTCAGAATTTTCTTTGGTATTTTCTTTTTGTGTTAGTATTCACAGATTGGTCACATGAATTTGACTGATTTCCTTTAAATCTATTGTTTTATCTAAGGATATGTACTCTCAGGAAAATTTGTATGATATTCAGATTAATTAATAATTATTCTCCCCTTTACAATTTTCCTCTGCAACGTTAATTATTACTGTCTTTGCTCTTGTTAACACACCAACGTGTGTAGCTGTTAGGTCAAAAATAGCATCCAACAGTAATGTGGTAACTACAGTATTTTCCTGAGGATGTTTTTCCCCATTACTTTGGTTCTGAATTTTCAGAGCAGTGCATCCACCAAATATATTTAAGAATCATTTCTTATGTACATTATTCATCTATTTTACTAATCAAATTTTCTCTTCTTAAATATTCATTTCTTACCTATATATTTTCATTTTCATCAAACTCCTTTGGATGCATGTCATATGCCTATAGCTGTGAATCTTCTTTTGGTTTTCTAAAATAAAACTTTCCCTTTTCATATTTATCTTTCAAGAAGAATATTTTTCAAATCAACGTTAAGGAAACTTTTGACAATAAAATATTCCAGCTGAACCCAGGAAAAGCAGTTGAAGGACCTAGTCTTTCTTTCATTCTTCTCTATATAGATCCTAGATAATGTGGCTCTTGTCCAACAACCTTATATTACAAACTCAAATCAATTATCTATCTGTGACCTTTCATAGTAATGTGTTCATTCTGCCCGAGCCCTATTAAACTGCCTTTGAATCTAGTAAAGCCATTTAATTGAAACTGGAAAATGTCACCTTTTCATTACTTAAGTTCTTTCTTATCTAAGAGTTGTTGCCATCTCTCCTTCATTCTAGCTTTTGGATATTTCATACATTACAACCAATTGAGAAGACATAATCTATAGTTAACACATCATGCATACTAGTAGCACTGTTTTGCTTGGAAATTTCAAATTATTCTCCCATTCATGAATAATTTTGATTTTCACAAAGCATTTTGGAATTCTTCCATACCATTTCAAAGAACCTCTGATATCAAAAAATACTTACTTTATAGATACCCACTGTAGGGTTTTCCTTATTAGATAATATTTTTCATAAAATTATCACTGGAAGTACAATATACAGACAGCCAAGAAGAGACATCAGATCACATAAATATATAGAGGAAAATGACTTTATGAGCCATTTAATTTAGTACATTCTAAGTGGATATGACAATAGATGAATTTCACTGTTCTTCACTTCTGCTCTCTGAAATGTTACAGGGACTTTCAGATTGGCACTTCTTGATCTTTATTTTCACATCTCTGCTATTTTGCTTTCTGCCACTTCAGTTACCTGCTATCAACCATGGTCCAAAAATGTTAGGATTTGTTTGACTCTTTCAACAGAGAGAATCCATATTCATGTAATTTTTATTATAATATATTGTTATTTATTGTATTTTATTATTACTTATTGTTGCTAATCTTTTACTGTGCCTAATGTATAAAATTAATATTATATATATATATATGAAAAACACCACAGATAGAAGATTTGCTGCTATCTGTGGTTTCAGGCATCCACTGGAGGTCTTGGAACATCTCGTGGGATTAGAGGAGGCTAGTGCAAGAGCGATAATATTTACATGCTAGACATTAAGTCATCTATTCCTTCAACAGATATTTAGTAGTGATTGACTACTACATACTAGACTGTATTTAAGGTCAGATCTAATATCTCCTCCTGGTGCTTGGAAACTAGTATAACTATTGCAAAATAGGTACCAGGATCTCAGGATATACAGTACTTGGTGTTAGGGAAGAAAGAAAGAAATTAAACTTTACTAAAGTTTCACATGGAGACTGCCACTGGAGCCCTCCCTTGGCCTGTGAGTGAGCACTTAGTTGTGTGCGGGGGACAAAATGTGAACAGGCTCTGGGGAAGCTGGCCATGGAGATGCATGCCTATAATCTCAGGCTGAGGCAGGAGGGTCACTGCAAATTTGAGGCAAGCCTGGGCTACCCAGTGAGTTAAAGCCCAGCCTGACCTACATAATGGGACCCTGTCTCCAAAAGCATAAAGTAAAACAAAACAGAACAAAAAAGCCTGAAGAGCAGGAGCAGCACAATATTGGAAGGAGGCAAAGTACAGGGAAACCTTTCTCCTTTACTTTTCTGTGTACAGTAGTGCATTAAATTTGTCCTTTGTAATGTAGGATCTGGTTTAACAAAACTAATCCTTGCAAAGCACACAAATGACCTTAAAATATTCCTGAAAGTCAACAACTCAACTGTAGTTCAATACTAGAAAGCAGTGAAGAGAGCACAGAATGAAAAAGCAAAACATTTCACACATCTCTATTACAAATATAAGCTCTTTCTCAGCCTTATCATAAGGTAAAACAATGATGATCTAAACAGATTTGCGAAGAACTGTGGGAAAACTATTTGAAATATGGCCTCTCATACATTATTGCGTAATGTGAATCCCTCCCAAGTGAGCTTCTGGCCACAGATATCAGCTACAGATATTTGGAAGACATCTTGATTAGCAAAAGATTTCAAAACTAAGCTAAAACATGAAGACAAGCCTAGGTAATTTTTCATTGGTGTTTTAAGTAAAGTGATACATAATCATGTTCTTTGCAAAATTGGTCTAAACAATGATGGATGTTTCAAGCGCCCTCCCCCTTCTGAGAAGTCTTAACTTTCTGAGAAGTGACAAATAGCCACTGCCTTAAGGGGACATTTGTCCTTGACACAATGACAATGACAGAAAGTGGAAAAAATTATGGTTTGGAGCTAAAATGCATTTCTTTATTTCTTTGCCAGCAAATATCATCACATAGAAAACATTGAAAATTTAAAGAAATAAATATAACCATAATTACACAGGGTAGGAGTTTTACCATACAGTTGGATGAAAATTCAGTTGTTCTGCAATAGCTCAGCTTTTAGATATTTGCTCCATTATGTGCATGCACACGAAGAACTGGTTTTATTTTGTTTCTTTGAGAACAATTAAATGAAAAATATACCTAGGATGATATTTCTTCAACAGTAAATTATTTTTCTAAGGAAAAGAACCCCTTATGGGAAAATTGTTGGAGTATTTGCTTTAACTGAAGGAATGGATGCCAGAGGGGAAAAATCGGAGAAATGGCATTGTTCCCATGCAAATTGTTGAGAAGGAAATTGATAGCAGAAATGCACAAAGTGCTATGGGAAGTCACTAATAAAGTTTATTGTATAAAACCAAGAAGTACTAGTTTTATAAAGAGCAGTATAATCTATAAAAATTATAGCTGTGCACTTAAAAACTCAGATATAGAATTTTCAAACATGTTTTAAAGTATTCCAATATAAAACTTTAGTGATCCTTGAATTTTTTCTTAAAATGTAAAACTGAAATATTTTTCAATTTGCTTGCAAGAACAACTAATTAATGTCATGGTTGATAGATATTTATTAGTCAAATTTGACAAAAGCTTTGCCTGTTAGGTAAGTCTGAAAAAACAAATTCCATGATTTTGTAAACACAGCTAGTAATACATTTTTCCATGTGGATCTATATGCTTATGTAGTGGCTTTCTCACTGGTGAGAAACATTAAAACATGATACTGAAACAAACTGAACTTGGATCTGAAGTGAAGAGTTATGCCCAGGTTTTAAACGTAATAAAGCATATTAAATCACATTATATTTCCTTTTTGTGTGTTTTATAATTTATAAATATATTATAATAGTGCATGTGTAGGAAGAAAGGAATTATAAATACATAAGTATACCTACCATTTTTTATTCATCTATCATACATATTTTTTCACACTATCAGTTCGGAAATTGGGATGGCATGTATCACATATAGATGGCCTAGACAGTCAACTTATTTAAATAAAGATGAAAATGAGCATGTGGCAGTGCTGAAGGATCTCTCCCTTGTGTGCTGTTAACATCATCATAGCTTCCCAGCCCTTGTGATTAGTAGAATAGATTTATTCATTTGTCATCAGTCTGGAGGTCTTGGTTGGAATTTGCCTTAAGCTTTCATGAAATAGTTTGAGATTTGAGTATCTGATGTCCTCAGAGTTTATAAAATACCAGCAGAAGTTCACGTGTAAAGAGAATTGGAAAATCTTTTGCTGATATCTACTCAGATTTTCAAATGTCTGTTCAGTATCTGTGCTTAAACTCTCTTTAGAATATTGAGAATATAAGACACAATCTTTCAAGTCAAATACCTGACAGTAGAATAAGGAGAGAGACACAAACACATAAAGAACAAGACATTTAAAATAATTTAAGCACACAAACAAAAGGGTTCACAAGGGAGTATCTGGATTTGCTTTATCTACATTTTAAGGCTCACCTATAGATATTCATTTGAATAAAAAGAAAACGTTTATCAAAGAACTACTTTTTTAACCAGGCTGAACTAGATGCTTTTGCATATATGAGGAATGTACTGCTGGAATCTGTGGGATGCTGAAGGAGATTTTCCCCCATTCTCTTAGGGAGCTTTTAGTCTAGTTATAAAGACAACTCACAAAATCATAAATGACAAGATGATATAAATAATAGCAATGATAATACAAAAGACGACAATACGAGAGATGTCCATTATGGGCCTGATTACCAATGTGGTCATATGGGTATATATTCAAATGAATTCGTAAGAGTGGAGTTTGAAGAATTAAAGAATATAGGTAAACTGTTAAGATAGAGGAAATTCCACTATGGGTAATGAGATATTTCTGAGTATGAGATACTCAGAAGCTTAAGAGCAGACATGCTTAAAAGCATGTCAAAGGTCTCAAAGAGAAGGTTCATAGAAACAGAGGGAGGCTGGCTGTGGTGAGTTTTGAAAGTAAGGATCTGGAGGCTCATCTCCTAACAGTGGAAAGTAACTGAAACAATTGTAGCTGAAAAATCAGAAAATAAAATTGATAGGACTGTATATTCATTTGTTCTTACAGTTCAGGAGTGGGGCTAGACTCACCCTGGAGCATTGAGAGTAGTTATGAGAATGCTTAGGTTGCCCAGGTACCATTTATAAAGAAGGGCTTGAACTAGGTCAGCAGCCTAGGTTGGTCTGAGCAAAGAAAACCAGCGTGTCAGACATAAGGAGCAGAAAGATTTATCAATGCTGATCACTGGTTGGGTATGAAGGATCAATAGAACATTGAACAGGAAGGAAGGCAGAGAAGGAGGGAGAAAGGAAGGAAAGAAAAAGAAGGGGGGGGGAGAGGACCAGCTAATTTAGAAGGTAAACAATGAATTTGATTACCCTGAGTTAAGGATGACTACTGTAGGATAGAGAAACGGAATGGGAAATAGAGTTGGATTTGTAGTGTTGCATCAGGCACAGGTCTGGGGGCCTTTGTCCTCTTGTGAAGGGACCTTCCACTTCCCTGGTTCATCTCTCCACCCCGGCAGAAATGCAGAGCCTCAGAGCCAGAGTGAGGCTGACTCTGAACTGAAAGTCTCTTCCAGTGCTCATGGAATGAGAAACTCAGGTAAAGAAAGTGAAGTAAAGCAGAAGTTTTACTGATAATATTGCAAAAGGCAGGGGAGGGGGCTGCCACACAGCATGCAAGCTATCTGGCAAGGAAAAGCTCAAGGTGAGACTCTCACCTGATGTCTTTGCCTTGTCCATCTTTATAGGGTTAAACTGACTTTGAGTCTTAGCTTTGGTGTCTGGGGTGAGCCATGGTTCACAGGAGCAATGGGCACACTGCAAAAAGTATGCAAAGTTCCTACAAAGAGTAGCCCCTTCCAGTATATCATGTCACTAATAAGCATGTGGTTATCTTTATTATACCAGCCACCCAGCTCATGCCCTATGCTGCTTGTCCCTCCCTAACTACCCCTACAGTAGGATTGCAAACCTGTAGAAAGGTCAAGATGAAAGATCCTGGAATCATCCAGAAGAATGTTTCTCAGTCAGAGATGATTTTGCTCCCAGGGACATGTGACAGTGCCTGAGACAGTTTTGGTTATCACAATTGAGGGGGATGCCGTTGGTATGTAGTGGGTGGAGACCAGAGATGTTGCTAAACATCTCTCAGTGCACAGGACAACTTTTTACAACAAAGAATTATTCAACATGGCAATGGTGCCAAAAATGAGAAACTCTAATATAGAGAAAGAGGATCGATATATCCTGCAGAGAAATAGCACCAAGCAAGAGATTGGTTATAGAATCCTCAGCTGAATGGCCAAGGACTGTTTAATGAACACCCACATTTAAGAGGTGTTATTAGAAAGTGAAATCGGCAGGGAACACACCAAAAAAAAAAAGGAAAGAGGAGGACTATTCTTAGAGGTTAACATTAGCGAGTTTATTGACTCATTTATTAAACAAATATTTACTGAACAGCTCTTACAAATGAAGTTCTGTGTGTTGGAGACACAGTAATACCCTTTCTGGAGCTTACATTACAGTACCAGGTGACAGTGAACAGGCAAAGGAGATAATTCTTAGATAGATGATGGCTAATTAGGCAACAAAATGGTGTCCCATGTTAGACGGACTGGGACTGGGACTGGGACTGAGATGGGGAGGTCATGAAGGAAATGCTTTGAATAAGATGGTGAAGCAAAGTTCTCTGAGGTGGCGACATTTAGGCTAAGAAGGAAAGGAGGAGTAGCCAGTCCCAAGAAGAGCTGGAATGATTCTGCTGTGGATTCCAAGGATGGAGGAGAAAGATTTAAGGGGGCCTCACAAGTATGAAAGGCCACACAGAGGTCCAGCAGAAAGCCCTTTGCATTAGCTGATGAGGAGGGCCATGGGTCCTTCAAAGATGAAGTCTTAAAAGGTACAAATGTTAATTCTAATGCTGAATTTCCCAACTTTCATTTATGGAAGCAGGAAAATAATCAAGTATTGGATATGGGGAATTTGGGGTAATACTGCAGGAAACCCTGGTGGAGCTCTGTCTGAATGTGTCAAGCACTTGCTTTTCTCAATAATTTTCTCCATAAAAATTAGACATCCCCACACAACACAAAACCATGAAGTGATGGAATGCAAATGCTAATATTAATCATACCTTTTCTGTCTTTTCTTCCCCAGGCTTCACCAGGCTTGCTGCTAAGGCAGTATCTATTGTAATCAGCAAGTTACCTACGGTGATTGCATGTTTGCCTCCCCCAATTAAATACTTCTTTTTTCTGTCTGAGAGAAAAATGTCAAAAAACTTTGTTGCATTGAAGAAAGCTGGACTGCTTGTGTGGAACTTGATTGTAATTACATGTCGGATATTTGAGGATGGAAACACTGTGGAACTTTTAACAGGTGCCTCCCTTGACAGATGGAGTAAGGAGAAGCTCAGTTTAATTTGCGTGTGTTTGGAAAGCATCATGGGTGAGCAAAGTAGCCCTAATCAAATGACCCGAAAGGTCATGCAGAGCATCGAGCAGCAAAAGCCCAACTGGATTGAACGCCAATTGTTGAAAGCAAGGAATTTGAGCACTGAATGGTAAAGTGATGTTTTCTTGCACTGAATTTCGTCAAATACTTTCACAGTAACAAAACCACTAATGCACAACAAAAACAAAATATTGTCAGATGGGCAGCAGTGGTCACTTGGCTAAAGTCATGGAAACTTTGATGAATATAGAGAAAGATAAGTATCCCATTAACACAAGACTATTAGACATTCCTTGTCTTAAAATTTGAACCCCACTGATACACAGGAACTCTATACTTGTTTAGCCACCATCTTAAGGTTTCTGATTAAAAGGGTGGTAGTTAAACTCAGGAGAGTTTAGTTTCACTCCTTCTCAGTGTGCAAACAGGTATCTAGTGGATGGCCTGGAGCATTTTGTAAATGGAGTGGGCATGGAGATTAAATTAAGAGAGAATTAATGGATACAAAAAGGCTTTTTATTGCTTTCTGTGTACCTGATTGTCAAAAAGGTACACATTTTTCATCTGGTAATGTAAGAATCCCAGAGGGCAACTGGGGCATATCACACTTGAGCTATAAACATACCCAGCTGTTTCGGTATGAAAATGTCAGCCTTCTCATAGGTTTGTCATCAAGATCTAAGTGATTTGTGGTATCACAAAGATTTTTAAGGGTCTCTCATGAATTTAAATAGATACATAGAGGTCCCCTGTCTTAAAATTAGTCTTCAGGTATAGAATTGCTTGCTATTGATAAAGAAATTTTGATTTAGCTGGACTACAGATCATTGTCAGCCTTTTTAAAAACACTCCCCCCCAACACTATCCCTCATGCTTTTAAAGTATGTTCTTGTTGCTAGCAGATGTCAGTATAACTTTCTTCCTGAAACAACTAAAAGGCACTCAAAATTTGGTTACTCTTACTAATAAACGGTATTGGTAAAGAGCTCAGGCTTTAGAGTCAGAGAGGCAAATACAAATTCTTGTAAATGCATCACCACCTTGTGCAAGTTACTGAATCTCTCAAAGCCTCAGTCTCAACACTGATCCTAAGCTGGTGGAATCACGTGGAGAAATTAAGTAACAGTCACAAAGTTTGTAGCATCAATTCTTTGAACCAAATAAGCATTTATTACTTATAAACTCAGAGACATTGCATTCACTGGCTAGTATTATAACCCACATTCTTTACTTTTCTCTGTTAATCTATAAGACTGTGTATTAATCCATATGGTGAAAAGCCGGTAATCATGGTTTTCTTGGTCTTGTTATACTGACTTCAAGAAATTTACTTCTAAGGTGTCCCCTGGGAGGGAGTAACAACAGTAGTCAGGCGACTGCTTGGTAACATTGACAGTGACCTTAATCTTTATATTTACATTCAATACCAATTTACAGGCTTTAAGCCAGTGACTAAGAGATTAAGACCAGATGTCATTGTCCGTGGCAGTGGTTATAAAAAAAAAGAAGTTTAAAAATAGTAGATTTGATTACACTTACAAAGTTAAATTCCTATACTTTAAGATACTTTGTTTTATTATACTATACTATACTATACTATACTATACTATGCTAATTATACTATACTATACTATACTTTAGAGTTAGGAACCCTCTATCACATAAGAGATATTTAAAGCAGTGTCTAAGTAATATAACTCAGGGCCCATGCAGGAATCCATGAGTTAAAATTTTTCTTTAAAGCTGATGATAAGTTTTATAAGCAACACCACATCTAGTATCTTCTATAATAGGAAGTTGCCTAGCTAATATTCTAGCTGAGTTGCTCTGGGTCAAAAGATCACTTAGCTCTCTATTACAAAATGTAGCAAAAATGCAGAATTGCTTATTTTTTTTAAAAAAGTTACAGCCTTCAAAGATTATAAATGATTAGTTAGCACAATACTATGTCTTTCTCAGTTTTTCAAATGACAACACAATACAAAAAATGTAGGTTTAAAGCTATTTATTACATGAATTTGAAAAATTAAATTGGACCTCACCTTGATAACAATCTCTTACAGAATTTGGGTACTATAGGAATTCTTCTTAACTGTGATTTCAAACTGATTATCTGATACACACATGAACTTCTATATCTAAGTATTTCTCATTAATTGATGATCATTTAGTTCATAGCTCTACAGAGTAAGTAAAATGTATTTCACATTATGATGTCTGTATTAAGTAGAGGGTTCTTTGGCTTTACCAATAGTTTTGTTTTTAATATTAGTATGTCAACTTTTTATACTAATATAGTTCTTCTGTTAAGTCAAATCTTACTTCCTAAAGATCATTGCGGAACTACATGCTATTGTTAAACTGAATTTCTTTCCCTTGCATGCAGATTTGTTTGATTTTGTGGAAATGGTGAAAGTAACTGCAGTCGATTAAAAAGGTGGCAGCTGTAAGCATTGCCTGTCCCGCATCCTTTCCGCAAGCATTACTATTCATTAAAATAACCTTCACTTTGTAGTAACTCACAAGCTGTAAACAGTCAACTTAGATTCTGGAGAACACACAGCCCAAAAAGTAAAGAAATGTCTGTCTTTGCAAAGTAATTTGTCGACTTGAAGATTATTGTTTTTCATCATGGTGACCCTGACTTGGCTGGCTGGATGCATATACAGATTAAGATTAATGCAGTTATTCCTGGGCTAAGGCCTGCCTCTTTCAGGGCACATTCTCCCTAATGACATGATTGATAGGCAGTCCCAAATCCAGAGAGGAACTCATTAATCATAGCATTGACTGAATCCAATCATTTGCTTCACCTGCACAGTGATGGACAGGAAAGGATACAATTCAGGGGCTGACACTGAGATACTCCTTTGTCAGAGAGCCTCAACTTTTTCAATGTCAGCCTCTACAAAGCCTCTCAAGAAATTTTGCTTGCAACCTGTATGCAGCTTCAAAAAGATCCATGCAAACTTCCTTTCTTATAATAAGATCTTTTTATAAAGATTTACACTAGCCACTGAATATGTCTAAAAGTAGGATTTGCTTTATTATTATCAGTTTTAGCAGGGCTTATATGATCTTCAAATTTTTTGGGGGGGGAAGATCTTTTGAAGTTACATGTGGAAGCAATATCCAAGTTAATGTCCAGCAGCTGGGTATCATTTGGTTCAGTCTTCAGGTCAGCGGCACTGACTCTTAGCAGAACTAATTTTATAATCATGGCAAAATCTCAGTAATGAACTGCAGTCTACAGCTGATTACACCACAGTAAATTTCATTTAGTCTGGGAAACAGTGGAAAACCATGAGTTTTCCTAAGACTACTTGATTGAACCAATAGCAAGCATGACAAGAAAATCATGTGGAGGGTATATGGTATACATGACAATGATAAACCATTTTAAAAGTTTTTATCTCACCCTTTATTAGCGTGCAGAAATCTTCAAACTAAGACTAGACACATGGGTTATTTGAAAGGAAATGTGTCAGGACTGTATCTTCGAGATTCACGGGGAGGTAATGGTAGGCCCCTTTTGCTCAAAGAATAACCTGAGTAGTGACTTGTGCTAAGTATCTGTTACAGAAAAGGAGAGGGGCGTGTGTTTTTTAAAGGCAACAAGTGTCAAAGGCCAATTTAAAATACCCAGTGGTAAGCACACTGCCACCAAGGATACAGGCTATAGTCAGCATAATAGGCTCCCCCCTTTGACACTTGAATTAGTCTTTAATGTGTTCTAAGACAGGTGTAAAGAGGAATCTACAAAAGGCAGAATACCAAAGCTATTTCTGGCATCAAAGATACTTTTTATCCTCAAAGAGAAAATACAAATTATTTCTCACATGTTCTTAAAAAGAAATGTTTTGTTTTCACCCCATGATTATAGCAATTTCAACAATTGCAGTAATGGGAAAATGTTTTATAGATAGGAGTATAAATGCAATAAAGAAATGCTTTAAAAGAAATGATTCCATTTTAAAAAATGCTTTCAGGTGCTTAATTCTAAGGTGCTGCTGTTTCTATGTGCAAGAGGGGTTGGGGAAAGCTTACCTATTTGACTGAAGTCTTTATGGGTGCTTTGAGTGTGAGATTTATATCGACTCTCCACACTCAAGCTCTCTGATTATTTTCCATCTTTATAATTCTTCACCACTGATATTATGTACTTCCTTTGTATTTAGTGCATTTATGACAGTGGAGAAAAGCACAGTTTCAGAAGAAGGAGATACTGCTCTTGAACTGACTGAGCAGAAAATAAACACGATGGTCCTGGATCTCTGCCACAAACCAGGTGGCAGCAAGTACCTGAGGCAAATTTATCACATCATGCAGCTCAATGAGGTAGGGAAACGGCCTTTTTACCGAGCAATTAGGTGTGTACTGGCCTGAGGCGGCGTCTGCTGGCAGCTAAGGGTTAGTCAAGGAGGTGATAATACTTCTTAAAGTCAATACCAAACTCAATATTGCATTATTAATAGAATCTATCCAGCCCCGGCTGTTCTGCATTTGTACAGAAAAAGCTTCACTGAAACAATGTAGGTTTTATTTGTATGATTTAAACAATAACACGGCTCATAAATTCAGTTCAGTTCTGAATTGCAGAGAATAGAGGTGTAGTTTGGGAATTGCGTGTGTGTGACCATTAAGCTGATGTTAAAATCTGGTATTTGTGGAAATGAAGAATTTTCTGAAGAGAGACAGAGAGCTGTTTTCCTGAAGACATTATTGTGTTGGTGAAGTTGGAGACTTCTTTTGTAATGAAAAACTTCACAAGAATATTGAACCATTTTGGAGATCAGGCAGATTAACCCAGGAAAATTCATTAATGCGCAGACACTGGTGAGAACCAATGTTAGGCTTGTCCATCTCTCTGCCCTGTTTAGCCTTTGACCCTGCTGTTCAGCAAAAACATAAATAAGTGGGTTATCTTAGCTATTTACTTAAACTAATAGATATTTGTTAACTTATCTTGATCATTGGTATCTGAATTAAAATGTGGCATTCGTAATTATGTTTATTTTTGCAAACCCATAAATACATTTTTTGTCAATTATGTAGGCCTTAAAAACCATACATTTCCAATGAGTGAATTAAATTCTGTGACAGCATTTTACAACTCAGTTATATGAATGTTCTCTCTACTGTTACCTGTCTGAGAGTAATTTCAAGTAAATCTTGATTCCTGGACTTCATAGATTCACCCAACAGTCAATAAATCGGTAACATTACAGTGTACTCAGTGGTAAACTTATGTGAGAAATGACCCTGTCTTTAAAGCACCAGAGCTCAATGTGTAATTGCTACTGAGTGACTGGGCCTATGCACTCTTGGTAAAGACCCCACATAGCCTACGTGGGGTTTCTTTTTGGGAAACTGAGGAACTCCTGGCTTTGGCCGAGTGAAGCTCCTCCCTGGTGAAGTCATGTTCCTCGATGGTATATCCACTTGGCCCCCTGGATGGACCAGTTACTATGGTGACTATTGAGAAACAGAAGTTGCAGTATGATTGTCCTCAGGGCTTTCATAAAGTGGTGTCACAATACCTGTGGGGATATTAATAGCTTGTATGATTGACAAACTGATAGAAAAGATCAGTTTTACGAATAAACAAAATCATCAAAGATTAAGTTGTATCTTTATTGCCCATCAGTTCTCCGATATATTCTTCCCCTGTAGAACCCATGTAACTGAGGCAGTGGTTTTGAACAGTATACTGTGGGAGCTTCACTGGGATACCACAAAATTTTGGTCAGTTAAGCTCAAAGTTATGATTTTTCTTCTGAATATGTTTACTACCTAAATATGTTTACTATTATGGTAGTGTCTATCAGATGAGCATAGAGCTCAGTATCTACTAGTTTATTCTGCCGAGTGAGGCATGCACAGCAAAGTAGGAAGCATAATGCTAGATGACACATAGCAAAGCAAGCGGCAGACTTTTGCCTGGTGACTATTAAAAACACAGGTGATAAACTCAAACAATGCAAGGGTGACTAAGTGACCAGTATAGTAGTTATGGCTGCTTTTATACACGAGGCACCAGCATGCCATAGGTGCAGTTGACAGTGATGTTTGTTCATGGGATGGGTAGTACCCTACCTTCACATGTGCTGCTAAATATTACTCCAAAATGTGGCATAGGTTTAGAATTATCTGTGGGTACAGGCCTAGGTGAGGGGAAGAATGGGTGCCTTATTGATGGAGACAGAAACTGTGAGGAAAAATGGGCTTAAAGATTTGTCTTTGAGGGCCAGGGATTTAGCTCAGTGGTTCTGACACCTGCCTCACAAGCACAAGGTCCTGAGTTCGATCTCCAGTACAAAAAAAAAAAAAATGCCTTTGAGTTGAAAGTTAGATGAATGAACAAAGAAGTACAATTGTGAGATCCTGGCTATGAGCACAGATGAGGCAGACCATGCTTATAGATTTGATAGTCTTCAGTGAGCTCATCAAACAAGTAGAACAACTCAGTGAAGAAAAGACAGAAGTCATGATGGAGAAATAAGCTTCCATGTGCGGGGATAAAGATGGTGTTCAAGACAGACTGGGAATATTCTGAAGAAATAGCACTGTTTGCAGCTGATTAAAGCAAGTCATACAAAAGAATCTGTTTTTTAAGAAGTACTAATGACTCTTACCATGGCAAAAGATTAACAAGGGAGAAAATACCATTTTGTTTACAACTTGCAACAGTGCACTTTTTTTAATTGTGGAAATAATAAAAGTCAAAATATACTTAAGTAAGGGGAAATCAGTTTCAAAAAATTATTAGCCAGAACAAAGAGATTTTTTTCAATGAAGAGAATTTTATTCTTTTAAATTTTAAATTATAAATTATGGTAGAGAAATATTTTGTTTGAGTTCAGTAATCTAAATCTAGGCATAAAATTCTTTTCTGGTGGCTTTGTCATTATCTAATAATATTTAGTAAGAGTTCACGTGTGTTATTCTACCAGACGTAACAAAATTAATATTTCCAAAGACATATGCTCTACAATGAACAAGTTTAAGAAATGACTATTATTGTTAACATTAGTAGTGGTTTCTTTGTATATTTAGGTTTTAGGATCTGAAATTTGCCTTCCACAATGGCCACACAGTCATACAGTTGTAGGGCACAGCAAAAAGAACTGAGCCTGGATCTATGGCTTCTTGCTTTAACTGGATCACTCGCTTCCATGTGACCTCAGGCTTGTCTCCTGACTTTTATAGCCAACCAGGGAGTGCAGTTTTGGGCTAGAGTTTCTCCAGCTTTCATGTGACTCCTGTTCTCCTGGGAATCCCTATTAACAGGGCTATTCTGGCTCAGTGGGGGCTGAGGCTCTGCTTTCCTAACGCTCTTCAGTGTGCGGCTGACTCTGAGGGGCTGTGACCAGACTTTGAGTAGGAGGGGGTTTAGGTGACCTCTGAAGTCCTACTCAGCTCTAACATTCTGAACTTTTTCCAAACCCTAGCCTTGAAGGGAAAAAAACCCATTGTATTGTGACATATTAAAGTCAGGAGAACATCTACTTTTATTTATTAAATGACTTATTTATGAATAGTGAGCATTCATCAATTAAGGGTAGATGTAGTCATTGTAATGTGTTGTCTTCCAAAAAGAGTCCTATAAAGTAGATTAAGATTCTGGACCCTGTTTATTTATGAGTTGGAAATGAGCTGTGATACAGTAGATTGTCCTTTTTTGCCCAGGGACTGCACTGGCGCTTAGAAGGATTAGAATTACATGTTTTGAGCTTCTATTGAACCCTGATATTTTTCAGTTCATAGCACAGAAATAGAGTTTAGGAGCTTGCATTATAAATAATTCTCCCTAGAACGATACTACTTGCAATATAATATCAGAATATTTAGTGCTCTGCTGAGCCTGAAGTAGGGAGCAACTGCACTTAATAAGTGGGTGAGGAATCTTGTGCATAATCATGTACCTGAGTTAAGTTTTAGTAAACAGGCATAGTAACACATGAACCAATGATAAGACAATGCCTGTTAACAAGTCTCTGCCATACCAAGCATTCATTCATTACAGGAAAATGTGTTGGATGGTCTTTAAATCCACAGTATATGTTAAGTAAACCTATTCTTGATGAATTTATTACAGTGATCCTCTGCTGTGTATCTTCTGAAAAATGTATTCTTCCCGAGGCAATTATACAAATGTGCTGAAAGGGTCAATTTTGGATATTGATCAGTTTATTTTTAAAGGGAATATATGCTTTTACCATCAAGACTTATAATTCTTTTTCCTTGAAGGAATATTTAAAACAACAACTGTTTTCTATGAATGGTTCAGAGAAAAAGTCATTACCCATCCGACCTTTAAAGATGACACTGAAGAGTGTGGAAGATCAGCCTTCTGCCTTTAACCCTTTCCATGTATATAAGGTGTTTAGAGAAAACATGCTAGATCAGGTATGTGGAAATTAAATGGTAAGTTTAATCTTAATGTGTGGTTTTTTTAACACAACTAAAAAAATACTTTGAATTTTTTAATATTTGCTCATAATTTTTTGGAGGGAGGGAACTGGAAAACAAAAATCCTTGTTCTTATTGATATAGTCTGTAAAAATTGGCTTTTAAAAGTTATATTACCTTCTTTCTGTTTGTCAAGCTGATTCATACATTTGGTCAATGAAACTTAATTTTGACCAGTTCAGTTTGCTATTGGGAGAGACTGGATCTACAAATGGCCCAAAGAACTAAGAATTTTGTAACATTCTTCCCCTCCATTGTCACCACTTATTCCCTGATACATTAAATAAAACATCTTGCAATCTTTATAGATGTATCACGTAAATTAGAAGATAGTTTACGGTGAATCATAAATAGAGTGTTGAGCTTCTAGTTAAAGTGGCATGAGAAATATTTGTTATTTATAACCCTAGACACATTCCCAAATTTAAAATGAACATACTAGTGACCTTAAAGCCAGGATATTTGAAATAAAGGCACTATCATAAATGCTATACATTTTAAAATGTCAAATTATGCCATGTTTAAGCTGCCCGTTCCAGTAATTACATTAAAAGAAGATCAACTTTCCACCAAAGTATTTTCAACCTGCAGTTGCTTTTGCTTTGTTCATTCTTTTAGTGGCTTTTTCCAGAAACCGCTTGACAGACAATTTGAATTAACAGGGCAGAAGAGAAGAATTGCTTGACCTAGAGCTCTGATGAAAATAAGAATTAAAACTATGGCCCAATTTGGCATGCAGATAATATTTTTACCATGCCTGTTACAGCTCTCTTCTACATTCATCAATACTGTAGTAGAATAAGACCTTCAATACTGACATCCCAGGGTGGAATTCTCCTGCTCTATGACAGGACTGTAGAGCTCGATTAATCAGCAGTTGACAGTGGATAGCTCCAGTTGGATTTTAAACAGCAGCCTTATAATCCAAACTATTTAGTGTTAAGAAATAAAAATATAATTTTTAAAAACCAAATGTAAGTTGGGATTTACTGGCTGCTTTCCTGCATTCTACATTAGCTTGCTCCAAACCATAAATAATTATTGCAACTGTTAAATCATCCTTACTTCATTTAAATAAATGGCATGTTGTATTGAGTTCTGGATTATGAGATTTTTCTTTTCCATAGTAATTTTTCTTCTTGCTCTGTCATGAAATTATCAATTAGTGAGAAAAAAAGAATCATGCTGTTTATATTTGCAGGGCCTTATATTCTCTCTTTAAAACATTTTCTTAACCAAAAACTTAGCATTAAGATTATCACATTCTAAGCTGCGTCTTAACAATTTGAGTCTTAACATTTCTGAGTTCCTTTTTTTCCGTCGAACTTTAGGATGTTTAAAGACCCTATAAATTGATACATGAAAAAGTTGCCAATTATTTTGCTTTTTTTTTTGAAGAGTCACCCTCTCAGAGGAACTTGTTGGGCAAAGGCCATTAACACTTGGAAGAATAACGACTCAAGGAATTGATTTATATTTTTATAAGTAATGACTACATTCCCAAAAGGATTTATAAATTAATTGCTGTCTTATTGGAATAAAAACCTTCTTCTGTGGACATGATTGATGTTATCTGTCTAAGTCCTTGTTCTGAACCCCCCTCCTTCTCAGTTAGTCTATCACAGCTGGAGCTTTAATTTACTGATCATATTAACTCTGATTAATAACTAACAATAGTGTCTTCTCATTTATCAACAGTCAGCCATCGCGAAATGGAACTGGAATTGGTCAAAGTTGCTGCCAAATTATCTGGGACTCGACAAGATGACCTTCAATGTACTGCTCAAAAACAGGTAATACGATTGAGGATCTTTGTGTGTGTGTGTGTGTGTGTGTGTGTGTGTGTGTGTCTATGTGTATGTGATTTTTGGAAAAAGAGCAAATATTTTGTCAGCAGAGCAATCTTTTCTTTTCCTTGTCTCCAGTCTCTCAAATTTTTAAAAAATGGCTAAAATTAGGAGTAGACTTCCTAAATTCCTTTTTCCATGGTGAACATTTGTAGAATTTGGCTTCCAGATAAAATTAGTTGCTTTTAACCTCAATTTTTAATATTTTTGATTTTGTGTACTTAATACTGTAGTAAACACCAAAAGTAATTGACTTGAATATCACCATAGTATGCCTTTGTTTACAATTTAATGAATGCACACAAAATGCCAAACCAAATCAACTAGTCTAATCAGGGGAAACATAAGTAAAACTGTCATGATTGAGGTTTTTACTTTACAGCCAGTTATCTGGGCACTATCTTGGTGTACTGTCACTTGCTTCCTCTTTTACACGCACATATATGCCAGTGCAATGCAATAAAATGGTAATGTGATTTTTTAGCTTGGGAACCTAGGCTGGTAATTTATTTTGCACCAGTGTACACACATTTTCTTTCTATTCTGGATCTATTAACATGTTTTTATATGACTTTAGAGTTTTCAGTGAACACTATAATGTATAAATTTTCAAAAGTGAATTTAGCTAATGTTATATTTTCAAATATATATGTATATATGTGTGTGTGTGTGTGTACAGATATATATGGTTCTTTTTATTGTTCATGGATCATCTGTTTGTTGATATCTAAGTATTGGAATTATTTTCTATGTGATCTTTGTGATATATATAGTTTTTGCAAAAATATTGAGAATCATTTTTTCCTGAAAGAAATTATTCACATCATAGTAGAACTGTCAAATCACCCTTGAGAAATCTGCATGCTTGTAAGAAAATTAACTATGAGAGAAATAGCACAGTATTTCCCATATGGAGGGTTTAAAAAAGGAGTGGCTTTGGCATCAATAAAAACTGTAGCTTCAATAAGTGGCCAAAATGGTATTCCTAATATTTCAACACCGAATTAAGCTCACTCACCCATCATGGGCAAAGTGGACCAATCCAGAACCTTCCTCATTAAAGACAGAATCTTAACTCCTAGTGAACTCACCACCTGGTAGGCAGTGACCCAGTGCACATCCCAGTTGTGCACAGTGCACCCCAGAGGTGCTCCTATCCTGTTCCAAACGTGTTCGGAGAGGTGAGAGGTGAGTTGGATGGAGCAGAGGCCAAGTCCTCTGATGTGTACACAATATGAAATGTTGTCTGGAAACAGACTCATGAAAATAAATATTTTTTCCTTGCTATTTGGAAAGTTTTGAGTTTATGTAGACTGTTACATCTGCTATGTGACTTGCTCTTTCTAATCTACTAAATGGTACCCTAGGGACAACATGTCCTTCAAAACTTACTGCATTTGTGTTGTATAAAATTCACCTCTAAGGAAACTTGTGCTTTAAGCAGGCTTGCATTATGTTATTTTTGTTTAATGGCTGCAGGTATACTTCAATTAGGTCTCCAGCTATTAAAGTCTATTTCCTGAGATATGTGCTGTAGTGAGTGGGAGAGAAAGAACTCCTGCAAATTTAGCCAGAAATAACAGGTCGAAACAGTTCTCTAGGAAAGCGGTCATGAATTTTTAATAGAAACAGCTAGAGTCTCATCTTCATAACAACCTTGGATTTTTAAAGAATGGAATGAAAAGCATTCTGTTGCAAACTACCACACATCACTAGCTACAGTGAAGCTAATTGAGCTACCTTAGAAGGATAAAAGACATGTGAGTGTTTTAATTTCTTCTATCCCTTTCCCATTTATTTTAAGAATGTTATTTATTAGTTTTGATTAATATTGAACCTGTAAGGAAACTTTTTTTCCCTCTAATATACTGTCTTGTTTGGACTTATCTGAAAAAGCTGACTTTTAAAAAAGAGTTCATTGAATTTTTTGACATGGTTTTCTGAAAGATACATATTTGAAAATGAGACCACAGACACTGAGCTTTAGAATGAGAGCTGCATATCTACAAAATGATACTTCTTACCTACAATTTATGGTTAGGCAAAGCTGAAGGAAAGACAAGAGCAGCTTGGCTGAATACATGTGGTTCTTTCTCCCAAACTCATCAGTTGACCAAGTCACTTGCTGTCTTGTGGATCTATTTCTTGGTAATATATTTTTCCTAATAGACCTGTATGTTATGGCCTACATGTGTGAATGAGGCTGTGAATGTTGTATCAGGACATAATGTTAAAAAGAAAAGTAAACTCAACTACACAAGTATGAAAAAGTTCAGGAGAAGAGATTCCTTTCTGGTCACCTCTACAATTCCTTTGTGTCTGGTCTTCAACTTCTATACAAAAACAGACCATCTGTGGACTTAATTTCTTAGGATGCCTGGTGTGAACCAGACCTCCCTCATCCTGAAAACAAGATAGAGATAGGAAAGCAGGATTCCTGGGTTCTCAAGAGCTTACCTTTGACTTTAAATTTTTTTTTTTTTTTTTTTTTTTTTTTTTTTTTTGGCACCAGGGATCAAACTCAGGACCTTGTGCTTGCAAAGAAGGTGCCAGAACCACTGAGGTAAATCCCTGGCCCCAAATTTTCTTATTTTTAATATGAAACAATGGTAACCATACAGCTACTTTGTAGAGATTATTGATACAGTCAATCCTGTTAAAATATTTGGAAGTATTTTTGAAAGTTGAAAACACAATACATACTCAGAAAAGTAATAACATAGTAGTAGTGTTGGTTCTGGTTGGGTAAGGAATTGGTAAAGTCCATGAAGGATTTGCTGTGAAATCAAGTTCTCACACTACAGAGTTTGTGTAGACCTTACGCCTCAGCGATAGTGAGGGTCAGGTCAAGTATCAAGTCCTAGAACAGCAGCAGCCCCAGTAGCCTGAAAGACTAGGAGAAAATGATCGAGAGGGGCTTTAAAAGGCCAAGTAAGCCATTCAGGAGATGAATACTTCAGAGATGAAAGTTGAGAAACATGGAAGAGGGTATCTGTGCTGCCAGCCACATATGTGTCTGAAGCAGTACTGGCCTTGGTTCTTCAAGCTGGTTGGGTGGTGACTCCAAAGGCGGAACAACTCAAAGTGGTTGCCCAAGTCTTTGGCAGGGATGTGTTCTCTGCATGCTATATGACCTCATCTCAAAACACCTCCTATCCATTCATGACACTCTAAATAGGTTGTCTTCTTCACATTCTTTGGGTTCTCTGGGTTCTTTTGCACTTTAGGGTCTTGATACTTGAAGTTTCCTCAGCTCTTCACATGGCCTGTGCCATCTTGTCCATCTGGAGAAGATATTATCTCCTGAAAGTGATCTTTTCTTGTCACCATCTAATGTGGTTCTCCAGTCACTCCAGCATTCTACTCTAGTATGTGATTTCTTAACTGAGGCATCAATATAGGAGGAATAGATGTAACTCCAAACCTGCTAGCTATTCGAAACGTGAGATCATGTTCTGTAAATATTGAAGAATGAATTCTAAGAACAACAGAGGTTAGGAAAACTCATTGAGAGAAAGGTAGCTTCTGTCTAAGAGAGACAGAAGGGGGATGGGAAAATGGGTTGCCCACCCACACCACTTCTCAAAGGTGTTTTATACAGCAAAGCCATGTGGTGAGGCGGGTACAAAGTGGGACAAAATTATAAAACCAAATGGAAAATTACAAGGTGGGCGTGAGGTGGGTCAAAACCATGACCAACCAATAAGATTACAAGTACAGTAACCCAGGTAATATTGATTAAATGGGGATCAAATGGGAAAAGGAGCCACCTACAAGGAATTTCCCATTTAGAATATCAATCACTGCTATCTATCTCTAGGGGAAGTAGTACCTCTTTTCTTTTTTATAATGCTAACCAGTGAAGTACCTCAATTGTTCTCCATATTGGCTCCTCACTGTGTTGGTTCCTTGAGGGCTGGCACCTTGAGGGTGACCTTGTCTAACTGTCTACAAGTTCTCTAAGTAACTTACCTATCTAAGATAGTATTACTATCTAAAATCTTAATTTCTATTTATTGTTTTAATCTTGCCCCCATAATAGAACATAAACTTCATGAGGTTATTACTTTGCCTTCTAGTTTGACTGTATCTTTGATGCCTAGAACAGCATTGCACACAGAGTAGGCTCTAAGTGGTATTTATTGGATTAGTTAATGAATAAACAAGGAATAAGAATTTAGAGAAAAAGTTGCCCCTGAGAGATGCACATAGATAGAGTAGGCATTCTTTAAATGTGATGTCGGATTACCAGTCATGTAGACACAAGAGGTGTACTCTGAAAAGCCACAAGTAAAAAATTATCTAAATGCATACTTATTCTTTACATTCTCAAAGTTTGGGTGAAAATCAGATTAAATTCTTTATGTTTAAGATGCCCATGATGATGATGGTGGTGAAGATGATGATGGTGGTGACACTGATAATGTAAAATTAGGTTCAGATTAGCACAGGAAGCTGGTCATAATTAATTGAGCCCACTCAAACCATAGTAACAAAGTCTGTGTTTTACTCTGTGATTTGTATGTCTTTTGACATTTTGGTGATAGAGTTTGGATTTATTAAATGATACTCGTAATGGAGGGTAAGAAAGTCAAGAGCAGTTAGCTGACAAAAGTATCCAACCAAGCCTTTGTAAAAAAGTTATGAGTGGTTTTGGAAGCATTTGAAGAAGCATAGTAGCTAAAATTTCAGAAAAGAGATATTGAATATATATTAATGATATATGTGTTTCAACTTTAGAAGTTTGCTATTGTAGAAAATAAAGTCTCCTTAGAGGTCCAGAAAATCAATATATGTATCAGTTCTATACTTTTACCTCTAATACTCTAAGAGAATAAGTACAGTAATTGTACATTGATCTTTTGGAATAATAAAGGTACTTTTCACCGTTTCTTAACTATTCATTTCTTGCTTTCATTCTCACCCACTTTAAAATAAATCCAGAG